AGGAACATTCCATAAATGATGGCACTGACCATAGTGGGAATGCTTCATCACAGTCAGTTTCTTTAAGTTCAGAAAATGCAAGTACATCAGGTAGAAATTCTGCGCTAAGTAGAAGAATACGTGTAAACATTCCAGCTGGGATCCCCAAAATAGTTAGAGAAGGTGAGGAGGATTATTATACAGATGAAGAAGACAGTAGTGATGATGGCAGAAAACAAAGGGTTAGACCTAAATCAGCTAAGCAATCCAGTAGCATAAAGAAAGTTAACAAAAAGTATACCAATATTAGCTCATCCTCATCCTCTTCTTCCTCCTCAAGTTCGGATACAGATGGTTCAGATATGGATTCTGATAGCTGCATATCAGATTCATCACACTCTTCCTCAAAGAGAAGTATATGTAACTTGGCTCTTCTATCTCCAAGACAAAAATTCAGGCCAGGAATAAAGTCAGTGGAAGTAAAACCAAAGTTTGGTGAATACACAGAGGAGTCTGAAGATACAGTGACTGATGTAACACCTCTATCAACACCAGACATCAGTCCTATCCAATCTTTTGAACTTGCAGCATCAAATGATAAGAAGCTGAAAGTAAAAAGACAAGAAAATGTCAGCCAAGAATTACAGGGTAATTTTGAGGAATTGAAGTACGATACAAAATTTGTAAAGCCTAGCACACTAGAAAATGGAAAATTGAGACCCAGTCTTACATCTGTATCTTTCTCATTAGATGCTGAGTTTGATCGCAGACATAATCAAAAGGTCTTGCATGATGCTGTGGACCTGAATCAGCTTTTGAAAGGTGATTTTTCTTAAACAAAATTTTTACAAACTTATTTACAAAGTGTGACCTTTTCTGTGTTGAGAGGGGCTATGGCATTGAGCACGAATGGAAATTAGGGGTCATTGTGTGTGCTGCTTTTTCTTTTAAAATTGGCTTCAGACCAAGTTGCATCAGTTTTAAAGCTGCCTTGTGGTTTTGTTTGTTTATGTAATAGCACGCTGGTACATCAGTAGACTAATGGAAGTGCTCCTTTAATAAACTCTTATAGGTAAAGGGATAAGTAGCCATGTGATGAATCCCCAAATAGGATTGATATTTTCACAATTCCACTGACCTCATACTTTGATTTGTCAAATCATGATCCATTTAATAACTAGCAATTTTCTTTAAAAATGCCAAACTTTTAATATGGGAAATCTATCAAATTATGACAGGTTTCAGAGTAGCAGCCGTGTTAGTCTGTATCCGCAAAAAGAACAGGAGTACTTGTGGCACCTTAGAGACTAACAAATTCATTAGAGCATAAGCTTTCATGGACTACAGCCCACCTCTTTGGATGCATCCGAAGAAGTGGGCTGTAGTCCAT